GGACCGGAGGTTTAGTTTATTGAGCTTTTGGACTTGTGCTGGAGACCATCCTCAGGGAACTTTTCTCTCAGCATGCGTCACACAAGAATGTCTCTGGTGAGAGAGAAGTTCCTTGAGGATGGGCTCCAGCACAAGTCCAAAAGCTCGAAAGACTAAACCTCTGGTCCTGGTGACTGCTCCAGATTGGATCCTGTTGTATTATGTATGTTTGCACCTATAAAATAAAGCTGGGATGAATAAATAAAATAATAAAATTAAGGCCTCTGGTTGGGTCCATGTGATAATCAATGCCTTATGTTGGAAAAAGCTGGTGCTACCCACTTTGAAGGAAATATTAATCTATGCCTCCTTCTCAAGAGACCAGGAGAGGTCATCTGATATCATGCAATGTGTTACATGCAGATCTTGCAAGCCTCCCTTGCTTCCTAAGTGGGTTTTCCAGATAGATCAACTGCTATAGATAAGGCACATATTCCTGTTCAACAGCCAGGAAATAATTAGGGACACACAGAAATCACTTTCAGGCGAACACTGAGGCACAACAGTTTTCTTTGAAATACACAGAGACATGGTTAAACTAACAACAAAACTTTACTGGTATAATGTATAATACTGTCTCCTTCACACACATACCAATGTCCTTCTAAACAAGGCTGCCAAGTCTGAATCCAAAGATGACTCTAGGAATAGGCTAGGCTAGGATCTCTTTTTATTCCCCAAAGTTCTTGCTTTGTTGGTTAGCTGGGATTGTATCTTTTTTCATGCTCAGACCCAACTTCCTTTGACTGGTTCAGGTGACATTTTTCCTTTGTTTTCTTAATGACTTTATTTCTTATCTATTTTCCTGAAGGGATCTTTCAGTAAGATTCCTAGCTTTTGATTTTTCTGCTTTTGCACCTGCTTTATCTTTAGTTACGGCAGCTTCAGCCTAATCTCACAAGTGCAGTATCAATATGCTGAGAATACCTAATTATACATCTCTGTTTCTTGCTGGCTAAGTCACGGCTTTTCAACCTTTTCACCCATTGTACCACTTTTAGGATATGGCAATATCCGAGTACCACTAGTCGCCTAGCAAGATGTCAAAAACTTGATGACCAAAAAGAAAAAAAAGAAAAAAGTGATAAAGTACAGGTAGTCCTCGACTTAAAACAGTTCACTTAGTGACTGTTCGAAGTTACAATGGCACTGAAAAAAGTGCCCAAGCCACAGCCGATCAAGACACCTGCCTGCCCACCTGGCGGCGCTCTTCCTCCTGTCTGAGGTTTTCATTGTTGTGAACATTTCTGTTGAGGATTGGCAGCGGGGGTTGTGTGGGGTGGTGTTTGGTTTTTATTCCCCCGTCTGCTGGGTGGTTGCAGCAGGTTTTGGTCACTTCACATGACCCTGGGACACTGTGACCGTCCTAAATATGAATCAGTTGCCAAGCATATGAATGTAAATCACAAGACCTTGGAGATGCTGCAACATTCCAGCTGATTGGTGCTTCTTCAGGGCTCAGCAGAAGCACCAGGATCAG